TATATTAGTACATAGTGTTATGTATATGTACGATGAAAAAAGCTGTTAGCGCAATCCCTTGCGGGATTAAAAATGTGAAACACGATGAACCTACTGTTACTAATTAAATGGACTTCGTTTTCTTCTGTTTCTTTACGGTAGATTTCTAGCTTATCGTTTTTTTTATCTTTCAAAACTACAGTTTCTCTGTAACAGTCTGTGAGGGGTTTAGATATTCTCTGTCACGGTGTGTGATGATGTCTGGAGGTTCTCTGTCACGGTCTGCGATGGGTTTGGAGCTTCTCTATCACAGTCTGTGATGGTTATTAATTTTCTCTGTTACGGTCCGTTACGGTCTCGGAGGGTTCTCTGTCATGGTCTGTGATGGTCTCTGGAGTTCCTCTGTCACGGTCTGTGATGATCTTTGGGGGTTCTCTGTCACGGTCTGTGATGGTCTTTGGAGGTTCTCTGTCATAGTCTGTGATGATCTCTGGAGTTCCTCTGTCACAGTCTGTGATGGTGTTTGGCGTTCTCTGTCACGATCTGTGATGGTCTCTGGAGTTCCTCTGTCACGGTCTGTGATGGTCTCTGGAGTTCCTCTGTCACAGTCTGTGATGGTGTTTATGGTTCTCTGTCACGGTCTGTGATGGTCTCTGGAGTCCCTCTGTCACGGTCTGTGATAGTCTCTGGAGTTCCTCTGTCACTGTCTGTGATGATCTTTAGGGGTTCTCTGTCACGGTCTGTGACGGTCTTTGGGGGTTCTCTGCCACGTTCTGTGATGGGTCCGGAGGTTCTCTGTCACGGTCTGTGATGGTCTTTGGGGGTTCTCTGCCACGGTCTGTGATGGGTTCGGTGGTTCTCTGTCACGGTCTATGATGGGTACTAGGATTTCTCTGTCACGGTCTGTGATGGGTATGGAATTTCTCTGTCACGGTCTGTGGGGCGGGAGGGGGGGGGGTGGGTGGGTCCAAATTTCTACCCCTAAACACTTCAACACTCCTTTCAGATCGTGTTTCACAAAAGAGTAAAAGGACCAATTTCTCTCTAACTTTTTTCGACTTCTGCTTATGAAGGGAGATATGGATGAAGCACTTCTTCTTAAAAAGTAACCATTTCTAATAGAAAAAATCCATTTTCACTAGAAACGTTCCTTAAGATAAAAAAAGTAAAATGATCAATTTCTCTCTAACTCTTTTCGACTTCTCCTTATGAATGGGGACATGGATGAATGACTTCTCCTTAAAAAATAACCATTTCTAATGGAAAGAATCCATTTCCACTAAAAACATTCCTTAAGAGAAAATAAAGTAAAATGATCCATTTCTCTCTCACGCTTTTCGGCTTGTCCTTCTGAATGGAGACTTGGATGAAGTAGTTCTCTTCGTTTTTGTTGTTTTTCCATTGTAGTAATGTGGTCGAATGAAGGTTGTAATTTTGTAAAAAAGCGTTTCTTTCTGACTTTATGTGGTTGAAGCATTTCTACTAGAAGTGGAGCAGTTTTTGTTCGATTGGGGGATATGGTCCAGCCCACTTTATATGTAGAAACGATTATTACATCTGTACTTTGATCGTCAATATCGTCGACAACCATGATCTCAGTATACAGAGATAAAACAGGTGGATAAATACTTGTCGAAATACAAATACCCTTCGCATATAACACGAATGCCACGATCAATTATTAAATTCCATCTGTTCAAAGGCAATGAGTTTAGATCTCTGTTGCTATTTGATTTTGTGGCGTTTAAATCTTCTTAATCTAACAAAAGCTGTTAGCGTAATCCCTGTGGGATTAAAATGTGAAACACGATCTAGCTGCTTTCCCTAATTGCAGGAGAATTTTTTAAAGTTATCTATTTTGGAGCACATTTCTAAAATATTGTTTTACCAATTCCATTAAAACTGGAATCAAAAATTAGTTTATACATTATAACAAAACGTTATTGATGCGTGGTCTTCGATCTTATATCAACAGTCTTGTATACTCAATGATTGCTTCTCGGAGTGTTTATGAACATATTAGATGTGTTAGTCATCGTTTGTGACGAGTGTTCTATTAGCGAGTAATTCTTAATTATGAGGTGAATAATCAATCCCAAACTAGCCGTTAATTAATTAACTACTTAATTAAGTAGCCACTAACCATAATTAATGAGGTCTTAATTGGTTATTAACTAACTAATTAATAAAATGTCTGTCACGGTCTGTGACGGAGAGTCAGCGTTGCTAAGGTGATTTAGTCCAGCTTCGCCGAAAAAAGTTTTCGCCGAAGATGAATTTCACCGAAAAATAATTTTCACCGAAAGAAATTTCGCCGATTCTATTATCGCCGAATGAATTTAACACCGAAAACAAATATAAGTTGCAGTTAATCGGTCTTATAGACAATAATTATATTTTAGTTAATTAGTCCATAATACCAAGTCAGATGGTTACCAACTGAGATGATTACCAACTCAGATGGTTACCAAGTCAGATGGTTACCAACTCAGATGATAACCAACTCAGATGGTTATCATGCCGATGAAATCTGTTCATTGGTTAATTAGATGCCACTAGAAGAAATTTCAGATGTCTTAAGGGGACCCCCTCAAAAAAGTTAGCTTTCGTCAGAATGGTCAAGATTGAGATAAATACATGGGGAGATAGCCTGTCATTTGCTCTTTCATAAACGATAAAAACTTTTCTTCGATACCTCCTTTTTTCCGAAATATTTTCAATATTTTTGACGACCCCTATTCGAAAAACCCAAAAATCTTTTTCGTTTTTTCTCAAAATGGTGGTCGGATGACGTATCTCCGGCGAAAGTCAACTACAATACGATATAAAGTCGAATCTTTTTTTTTTCGCTTGAAGGAGCATAAAAACGCAGTGCCTATGAGAGCCACTTTTTTGAAATAGGCTTTGCTTTTATTATATTGAAAAGCGCTTTCTTAATTAGAGCGTCATTTTTTGAGAGTTTTTTTAGTAACCGAACTTGTCAGGGTCCTTTTCCCCCTAAAAGATAAGATTTAAAAAAAAGGGCCCTCATAGGCACTGCATGCGGACGTGCTCTTTCAAACAAAAAAAAATCAAGTATATATATTGAAGAGCCGCTGAGATTTTTTGGAGATGCGATAAGCCATTTTTTGACCCTTATTCGGTCCGTATCTCCATTATACGTCATGATAGAAGGCTGAAACTTTTATCACATGCATCCTATCATAGGTCTAACATATTCTCCAAATATCATCCTGTTTGGATGTTCCTGGGCTGAGATCAATTTTTGAAAGGCCCTCAATTTGTACGAAAAAGACTTGTGGCGCCGATATAGCCTTTATGCTTTGGTGGAGATTAATAGTTTAAACTTCGTCATACTAGTGAAAGAAAACAAGGAATAGTAAACAAAGATGTTGTACATAAAAACTTTATATCGTAGTTTGGTTTAACATTATTCATTTTTGGAAGGTAAACGATTTGGTAGCCATCTGACTTGGTTACCAAGTCAGTTGATTATCAAGTCAGTTGGTTACCAAGTCAGTTTGTTACCAAGTCAGTTGGTAGCCGTCTCAGTTGGTAGCCATCTGAGTTGGTAATCATCTCAGTTGGTAACCACCTCAGTTGGTAACCATCTCAGTTGGTAACCACCTCGGTTGGTAACCATCTCAGTTGGTAACCACCT